AATTCTTTGTAAATAAAAGTGAATGCCGATACTTTCAAAATGCTGAATGCTTCAAATGATTTGTACCTTATCCATGTTTAGATTTTTTATATCAGCTCAACCTGACCACTCAACATCAAGTCTCCATAATATTTGTCTTCTTTCCCGCTCCCCTGATGGTAACACAACTTCTTGCTCTCGAGTTAACAATTATGCATTATCGAGCAATGCCCTAAGCACAACTGGGACACACTCCCTACTCACCCCATCATCTCAGATAAAACCCTCTATTACTTGCGACCGCAGAAATGATCGCCTAACAATCTCCAGTGCCCATAACATTTATCATAATTTATATGAAGAAACTCTGAGTTTCGAAGAATTTTTCAGTGATCTACTATGACACGGCTTTTCATGTCGAAGGAAAAGCTGGGTGAAATGAATTCGTGAATTAGTCTATCCGACATCCGAAAGAGAAGAAGTTCTCAGCTCACCATCCTGCAATCCCGGTGAACCAGTACTAAGCTTTCGTCTGTCATGCGACAGACATTTATTGATTAGGAAACATTTTTAACGATAAAACGTCACCAAATACAGCATTTTTCACCGCCATCAAGCCAATCGTCCATCGGTTTTCTCCCAATCAGCTTTTCCTTGCAAATAAAAAGTTATGTCGTGATAAAATTTGACTGTGATTTTGGCTGTATATACTTTTTACTTATGTAACACAAATGCCACAGATCCAATTAGATTGAGCCGAATGATGTCTAGACTTACGGATTACACTAAGAGGATGCTTTATTCGTATGAGTTGGTGGATTTTCTAGCCTGCTTCAGATGAGGACGGTAATTCGAAAGTATTTTTAACAGCGAGGCTGAGTTAAATACAAGACATCCTCTCTTCACCGTAGATCAGCCGAACAAGCCGATATGTGGATTTTCTTCAAAACGGGAAATGTAGATGTAAATGATTCCAAGAATCTTGACATATCAAGAATAAAAAAGGAGTAGCAGAGTAAAGATAATACGCTGAATTCTACAAAGGAATTACCTATTAGTATTGCAAGTTGATAAAGGAAAATCCATAATTATAACGGACAAGGAACAATATACCAATAAGTTATTTGACCTTGTTTTAGCAACTTGGTCATATTGGTAGGAAGACTTAGAGGAACGCACATTGTCCGGAGTCCATTTTATGCATAATCATTTCCAAAGTCGGATGGTTGACGTGGTACATTCCCTGACGTTTCGCCGGCATCGTAGTCGGCATCGTAGTCGGCATCGTAGTCGGCATCGTAGTCGGCATCGTAGT